CAAGGGCAAACAGAAAACGGGATTTGGTTTCCCGGGGAGGGAGGGTTTGGGTGTTTTCTTACCCCCTTAAAGCTTCCAGTTTTCAGGAAATTATCTCGCCTAGAAATATACCTGAAATTTATATCGCCTTGTTTTTATAAGTATTATTTATGTAACGAAAGAACTATTATGTGCTTCTTAGGGGATTCTTATAAGGCAGGAAGATGTAAAGATGAAAAAACTTGTGGTCATTTTTAAAAATAATTAGTTTTTTACGTTCTGGTGTACTTCCTTCCAGCGAGTGGTTATGTACACACACGAGTGCGTGCGTGCGTGTGTGTTTTCCCTCACCTATGAGACCTGATACACCTCGGCCTCCTAGCTGGCCCATGAGGATAAAGTAGGTCAGCTTTAACTCAGATCCAGTCCCCAGGTGGGAGAGTAGTCAGTCTGGAGTGTGCTTTGACGGAAGCCCATTTAACTGACAAAAAACAACAGAAGTTTCAGTGCATACTGAAAAAATACAAATAAATGCCTGGAGATGAAGCTAATCCAACCACTCTACATGGAAAATCTCCACTTAACGCTCAGTGTTTCCTGTTGCTCATATATGCAAAACTGCGTCAGAAATATGTGTATGCGTGAGTACAAATGTGAATAACATGTATGTGCACGCATGTCTACAAAACTGAAATCATCGTGCGTAGAGCTCTGTGCTTTGCATTTCCACTTCCTCTCTTGTGACTATTTTCCAGGTCATCTGGGGTGTTAAGCAACAGCATTTTTAAGGAGAGACGTGTATAGCATAGCGCTTTACCTAAGCATTACCCCCTTGATGAGCACTTAGGTCGGATCCAGTTTGGTTTACTATGTTGAACAGCACAGCGGAGGTTGTGTGCATGCCTGTGTGTCTATTTACGTAAATATTGTTTTCTGCTGCCTTAGAGTATTTGATTTCCCCCCCTCATGATTCAAGGTCATCAGTATGTCCTTCAACGTGCAACACATTGTTGCTTTTAGAAACAATTTAGGTGTTTGGTTTACTTGTTAATACACTAAAGGGCCCTGGAATGTTTTAAATGTTGTTCTCAGGTTTCCTCTGATACTGAGCATGGTGCTTTCATTTCTCTTTGTTTTCTGTGACCTTGTTTCCAGAGGTTACCTCTTTCTTGCTTTTGTTGCCAGAAAACTATATAATCAGTTTATATTAGACTGTTTGCAAAAGAAGTTTACACATTTCTTAGAAGAGTGGCCTGGATGAAGAGGGCCTGAACCTGGCCTAGAGGACTCTAGAATCAAGGCTATAAAGAAGTCAGCCAAAGGGGAGGGGAGAAAAACAAGGACAGCAGCCAGTAAGGAGCCTGTTACCAAGCCACGCGCGCGCGCGTGTGTGTGTGTGTGTGTATATATGTGTGTGTGTATGTAATGCTTCTAGAAACATGCCTGGAAGCAGTGCCAAATGCACACTTCAGAATAGATCCCTCTGGCAGGGGGACCTAGGGTATTCACAGTGACCTTGAGCTGAAGGTCAGGATGGTTCTCCCCTAGAAGAAACTTTTGAGTGTCAGTTCAATTGTCTTAAAAATAGAACTAATCGCCTTCATTTGGGGCTCTCTGGGTAGCTAATTCTGAGCTAGAGGAGCTCCTAGTTCTTCCAGATCCCTTCAGCATCTAAAGATCTCGGGTTCCAAATAGCTAATTATCACATGGGACAGAGGCTGCATTGCTATTTCTTCTGAGGATATAATTACAGCAGCAGCAAAGACTGGGGAACCGACTTGATAGGAACGAGGTGTACCGAACACTAGGCCCCACTTTGACACCGCTCCTCAACAGGAACCCTAAAGGTGTGCTGAGGAGCCTTCAGCTGTCGTGTGTCTTTGAGGATGGTCAGTGGACCAGATGCACTGTGCACATTTCACCTTCTCCTCAGAGCACTTAGTAAAAAGTCCATTGCAAACGCGGGTACATTCAATCTCTTCTTTCAAGTTATATAACAATAGGGATCAGGGCTCGGTTCAGAGATGGGAAAGAGCCTGACGTCCAAATGAACACATTCATATGTGTGTCCTCAGAGCCAACATTATATAAATATGTAGATTGTTCTTTTATGAATTCATAGTTCTTTATAGTTGTGAGATAACTGAAGTTCATTACAGAGGGTGCATTTTCTTTACAATTTTTCTGGCTATCAAAATTATTAGGAAGATGAAAAGCGAACTTTTATGAACCTTAGCCTGACTTTTCTTTTTTACATTAAATGTCAGCAAAATCAAAATATTGATTCAGTGGCATTAGAATGATTTCCATGGTAACCAGCTTCTATTTCAGTAAGGGATTATGGCTCCCCTGTGGATAAAAGTTAAAAAGAAATGGACTTGTAACAAAACAGCTTTTCTGAGTAGGAAAACAAAGTTTTAATGATAAACACAAACAAAATAAAAATTGCATGCCAAGAAAGGTATAATTTAGTTTTTAAAAAGTGTAATCTTGCCACATTAAAAATATACATTTACTATTCTAGTGTAGGAACTTCTATGATAATACTTTTAAAACTTATATGTCATACAGTAAAAATGATAAACTGGCCATGATTTCCCTTTTCTATTGCCTCTATGTGGTACCTGCTTAATTTGAGGAAATAGTAGATGAAGTAAAGGAAGTTAACTAGGATGGATGAAAGTCCATCAAGCCCTGTTTCATGTACGATCCAGAAAAAGCAGGAACCATGAAACCTTACATCCACCATTCCCATTGCTCAGGCAAACAGGTGTCCTGTTCCTCAACAGCATCATAGTTAGTGACTCTGTGGTGTGGACAAAAGGCACTGCACTTAGAATCGACACTCAGACATTGACTTTGGGCAAGTGACCCAGCGAGACAGTGTCTTTACCTTTAAAAGTTTATAAATAACTGAACATCGATTGTGCCCTGCCTTCCTCACAGCCCTACGACAACCCCTTGGGCTAAGGCCTACGAAGGTGCATGATTGAAAGAAACTGCTATACAGATATGTTAGTACTGCTTTAAATGTGGGATTGCCACCTAGGGTAACAGGTATAATAGGGCTGAATACTGTGACATTTTGGTTTGGTGAAGCACATATATTAAAAATCAAGAGGAGAGGAAAAGAAAGGTCATTGGCACACACACTCTACGTGTTAGAGGCTTCAACATTTTATACAATGACCCACATATGCAAGGAAGTATTTTCCAAGTGTAATAATCTTTCATAGTACATGACATTAATATAATATTTAGTATAATGGGGAAAGCAAATTTTTATTAAACTTCAAGTACCTCTACACTTTGGAATCCTTAAATAGTATTTTTTTAGTTAAGCTTTTCTTTACAGGCGTATGCTATTAATTGGAAGAACACTGAATATTTTAACTTTCATTTGTTATGAACCCTTCAAGGCATTTCCAGCCCTTAATTTATGATGTTATTTCATGATTGTCTCTTTGCAAGCAATGAGGAAATATTTTTCACTTGGAATAATGTACCTGATAGTTTCTGATTTTTACCTTCTAAAGATGTTTAGCTGAGTCATATGTGTGAACCACACATGACTCAGCTGAACCACAAATTGGAACTCCTGCAGGGATATTTGGAATCGTGATTGTCTTTAGAAATGTGCAATGTGTGGTTGAGCCAGAACCAAGAGAGGAAGGCTAAGTTCATCACAGGGTCTCTGTCTTAAACGCAAAAACAAATTCCTACTTCAAGGTGACCAAATAATGAACTTACAGCCTCTAGGAATGTTGTTTTCAGGCCTCCATTTATTCATCCAATACTTGGAGCACCTGCCTTGTTGGACTGGGAATCCTTTGGTGAACTGAACAGAATCAATCCTTGCCCTTGTATTACTATCAATTTTGTTTCCAACTCTCCAACTCAGCCTCTGTTCCTCTCTACATGCCATGAGGCAAGCCCCGATTTATAGAAATCACTTCTAGAAACTGAAAATCTGTCATGACAACCATGGGACCTTCTTCCACGTAATTAGTTGTTTAGCCTGGAAGAAATAGTTTATCACATCTTAATAATGTGACTTTTCCTGCAAAGGTTAGTGTTGCTCTTTTGCTGTTGGGTGTTGACAATTTAAAGGTGCCTGACTCTGATTTTCTGCCAATGTAAACCTTCAAAAGCAGCCTGTGGATATTGGAGGAGAGAGGAGGCAAGTGAGTTGAGTTGCTTTATCATCTCAGGGCCCTTCCAGGTTTCCCGGGTCAGAATTCCAGTTTGGGAACTTAAATCAGCACTAGTCAGAGGCAGCCATCTATCGCTATTGCTTTCTCAGTGACTAGCCCAGATCTCTCATACTTTATCAGGTGATCATAATTTTTTTTAAAAAGATTGTGCCAATTACAACTCAGTATGATATATTAGGAAACATGGCTTTAGAGGCAAATAGACTTTGGTTTCATGTTAGCGCTGCCAACATGCATCACTCTCAGCCTCAGTTTCCTCATCTGTAAAGTGAGAATGGGAATACTGACCTTATGTGGTAGGGGTAACCCAAGATGCCACCCAAGATTCCCCACTCCCTGGGACACTCATCCTGTATATATTCCCTGGAGCCAATATATCATCGGTGACTTGAAGATGAAGGGAGATGTGTCAAGGAATGTGGGTGGCATCTAAGAATTGGAATAACCCCAACTAAAAGCCAGCAAGGAGACAGGGAACCTGGGTCCTGTAACTGTGAGGAACTGAAATCTGCCAACAGTAATGACCTTGGAGGTGGATGTTTCCCCAGAACTTCCAGGCGAGGACTCAGCCTGGATGCCACCGTGACTTCAGCTGGTGGGACCCTGAGCGGGGAACCCAGCCTTCTGGGTTCTGGCTGTGCCTAGACTTGTGCTCCTTAGAAATGTGAGCCAGGGAGGGGCACTGGTGTTCAAGCCGCTGTGTTTGTGACAACTCGTATGGAGCAGTGGAAAGCAGTCCGGCTCGCCAGGTCCTCAGGCCGAATCCGTGGGGTGGATATCGAGAAAAGCACGGAGCTTCGAGCAGATGCCCAGCAACCTTGCTGTCTGTCCTTCACTCTCAGCGCCGGGCTGCAGTCTCAGGTAGTGGAGGTGGTTAGGACAGTGCCAGCAGCTTTCCAAACGTCCCGGCCGGACCGTCAAGTGACTGCGTGATGGGCCCTCGGAAAATGCTCACCGATTAGGCCTTTCAAGTATCTGCTTAGCTCCTTCTGAACCTGTTTGGATCTTCTCCTGACAGGGTCCTTCCTTTCTCACCAACAATTTTAGTTCTTTTAAAGGCCTCGGCATTGGCTTTTCTGGTGACTATTTGAATGGCTCGTGTAGGTGACTGCATAGTGTCTGCTCCGGGTCCTTTTTCATATCCCAAGTGGCACTTGTGCTTATCAGGGTGTGACTAAGGAGTGCACAAAACCCCGTGCAGCACCGCACAAATAAAACACAAGGAAGGGGAATACAAGCTCTCCAGGTCCTCATCGTTCGGCATGTGGTGGTGGTAGTGTGTGCTCTTGTTTGCTTTCTGGGAGAGAGGTGGGGGTCATCACCGAAGGCCCACATTCCTGGGTTTCTCTTTCCAGGTTGACAGGATCAGAAGCTTCGAGGCTTCCTGGTGTCAAAGCCATCTGTCAAGCCAGGCGCTGCTCAGATGGAGGCAGAGTTGTACATCTACAGTGTGTGATCTTTTCCTAAACGTGCCCTGAGGCCCATGAATGAAACAGTTTGTATGTTAAATCATCATGCAGCTCATCTCCCAGACCTGGCCGTGACTGTCCATTCCAGTCCCAAAATGACCCTGCCTAGTGACTGCTGTCACCCGTCATGCTTCTGTTAAGTGGCTGGATTTCACTTCATTTGTTTCAGTGTCTAAGATTCATAAGAGGATTTTTGTCCGTGTTGTTGGCTCAGATGGGTTCTTCCGTGACAATCTGATAGACCTAAATTTTCTGAGTGTCTGTGTGATCGAGACACTGATCTGGAGGGTGTTCAATTGTTGTGCAACAAATTGACACAAATTTAGTCCCTTAAAATACCACACCTCTATTGTCTCACGGTTTCTGTGAGCCAGGAGTTCTCCCAGGGTTGCCCCAGGCTGCAGTCCAGGTGCCAGCGGGGCTGGGTCAGGGTACTTTCCACGCTCGCCTGGTTGTTGGCAGAATTCATGTCCCTGAGATTGTGGAGACATGATCGCTTCCTTCTTCAGAACAGAAGGAGAGAGGCTCTCTCATCTGGATCCTCTCCCTCCAGGGAGGGCCTGGATCTTCCTTTAAATAGGTCGCCCAGGATAACCTGCCTTTTGATGAACTCAGAGTCAACAGATCCGGAAACTTGATTATAACTGGAAAGTCCCTTCACCTTGTTTCCATAGACTGTAAGTTAATCACGGGAGAAAAATACCATCACATTCACAGCCCGCTTGCACCCAAAGAGAGAGATTAAAGCCCCAGAGGGCGGGACTGTGGTGGACCAGCCTAGAAGTCTGCCTACTCAGATGCAAAGGAGAAGATTATATATATATTTCTTTCCTAGCAACCATTCACCTATGCGGTTGGGTACTTCAGAAGTCAACTAGTGGGACGTTAATTAGCAATGCAAGAGGTAAACTATAATTAAATATCACCACGCAATCTAAATAATTGGTAAATAAACAGGGCACACTAACACCCCTCCCCTTTCCTTTTTCCCTGCTGCAAAATGCGTGGATTGCTGTATTAAGTTGAAATTGGGAACATTTTCTTTCTTGGTTTCGGCCTTACTTGTGAGACATGAGAAAATACCTTCCTTAGTCCTGCAGCCCCCACACCAAAGAACTTCTAGAACATAGAGGTCCAAGTAAGATATTGGCACCAACATGGTGCAAATATTAAAAATTACAGTGTGCATAAATAAATGGCCGTCCATTTGATCCTTACTGCCAGTTTTCCTAGTTTGTGACTCTCTGTGGACCTAGTGGGCTAGCTTGACCCAGCACAGTCTCCGTCCCCTAAAACACCGCATGGATGTGGGCCAGCCAGTGTACAGCAGCCCTGATACCACTATGGTGCACCCCAGTGCTTTGCCTGTGGGCTGCTCCAGAACCCCAGGATTGTAGTGATTGGCGATTCATTTATACTAAGTACCCCTGCCCGCCTATTGAGTAGCATTTTGATGACAAATAAAGATGAGACTGCATGTTGCCAAGGTATGCAACTTCTGAATTGCAACACCGGGTCCGTGTTATGGATAAATGGATATCAGAAAGCATGTGTCCTCGAATGAAGTTGGGGTTACTACTGTGACCCTCATTGCAATTTTCCATGGTCTCGGTTTTGGGCCTCAAGCTTGGCTAGGTATTTATCTGTGCAGTTTATAGTAAAGCACTGCGGGGTAATGTAGCAAACTCCTAAAGGACTAAGATCCTGTAAGGACAGTGGAGGAAGTAAGTTGACAGCCTGCCTTTCTTACACACCCCCTCCCTCACTTCTCTACAAAGCCCTCACCTTTCCTCTGTTTCTTTCCACTTGAGTCTGGCCCCTAAACATGCTCCTTTACGAATGAATCTTCCAGGAGACCGCCTGATGCAAAGAGTTAATGCACTTCCAAGGGTCTTTCATGTACAGAGAAGTTCAGGCACTTGGAGAGCGCGGAGGGGAGGCGCGGTGATTCATGATCCTCAGGGAGCTGGTGCTGGGGGGCCATCCGTCACCGCTCCCAGCGTGGTTTACAATACAGTCCCCCTCTGAATGATTTAAAAGATGCGGGGGCCGCCTGCGTGCTCTTAGGCTGGTGCAACCTTACACTGGCTTTCCTCCACTGCTTTACATTTCTGAACCTTAGTAGGATACAAATTAATTACGGGCGGTGGCAAAGGATGCTGCTGACAGGCTGTAATGCGTTATTGGCACCATTACTTTTCATTTCGTCCCCATTCTATAAATCACACAATGTTCAGCTTATGCCATTTAGATAAAGGTTTAAAAAACCAAGTTTCTTGATGAAGACAACAGAGCTGAGATTTCTTTCCCTTAAGCGGCTTTTGGAAGTTAGTTTTCCCCTTTCTTACCCGTCTGTATTTCTGGGCCACCCCGAGCCATTCCTGCTATAGTCCTGCAGGCCGGGTATATTCTTCCAGATTAATTCCACTTTGTTATTCTAGAGGCACCCAGCTTCTGAGCAGTGTTTCACGCTACCTCCGAGAAGACTGGGTAAGGCCATTTTTTAAGGCAGAGTGACTGCATGTGTACATAAATCTTGCCTCTAATTGACCTCGATGAAGCGTACACTTACTGCAGAAAGAGTGCTTTCGTTTTATGGCCCTGTGTCTGCACTGACAGCTTTTATAATACAAATTTCTTTCTGTGAGTTTTCCTGTTAAGTGGGAAGGCAGTGATGTAAGGCAAGCTCTTCTTAAAATTTTTTTTGCTATTAATATGTATTAAATTAAGTTGATTATACGGAGCAGAACATGGGAACACGTCACCCTTTGGAAATCTGCTTTCTGACAACTTCATCCAGTGAGAACAGCTGAAAACCAAGAAGACTGAGGAAGAGCTTAGGGGAGCCCAAGTCCTCCTTCTTGTACCGAGGCTCAGTGAATTTTACAGAATGTCAACTGCAGGAGATTTTTTTCTTTTAACTTGCTGGAAAACCACTCCCTAGGGTGCTAGGGAAAACTGCTCACAGTAGTTTCTCGTCAGAGGTGCTTCACGACCAGGCCGCCCCGGGGCGGGGCGGGGGTGCCGAGGGCAGCCGAGGGCTTTGGGGGGCTTCCGGAGCCGAGTGCCAGAGAAGCTGTGTTCTGCGCAGGAACTGGCCACGGGGAGCTGCCCGCTCTGCAGGAGCTTGGCCGGCGAGCTGCGGGAGCCGGGAGACGGGGAATTAGTGAGGAAAAGTCAGAGAGGTGTTGCCTTTGCAGTTGGAGCAGTTACGCATAATCCCATTTTTATTCCTTTCCTACTAGAGATGCAGCTACAGTGACAGAGATGTAGATACACAGATATAGACAGAGACACACATATAGATATGGATATATTTATAATACGCATGTTCTGTCTGTGAGAAAAGGGTCCCAGCACTCTTTATAGATCAGAACTCATTAAATGTGTCCTGTTGGTCACATTTACATTTTTTATTGCAATCTGGAGGATCGTAAGCCAGGAATGAGTTTCAGTGAAAGATCTATAGATCCTTAAATTATAAACATAGCAGCCACAGCTATTTCAGCAAGTAAATAAATGCAAAAGGTTGTATTTAACGTTCGTGCTTCCAAAACTGAAACCTAGTATGGGACGTATATGAAATAAAAGCCCGGTCCCGAGCATCCCTAGCACTCAGCTTACCCTGTAGGCCGNGGTCCCGAGCATCCCTAGCACTCAGCTTGCCCTGTAGACCCGGCCCCCGCAGCCCTGCTCCCCCTCTCGGCCCAGGCTCTGCCCGCAGCCCGGGCTCAGGGTCTCCTCCCACCCTCCTGCCCCCTTGCAAATGCTCATAGCCTTACCTGTGTGGAAATGCTGCTCTTGGAGAATTTCTCACAATCTTCACATTCTTGCCCCAAATCTCCTTGAGTGAAGATGTACCCAACTCCTCCCGGGACTGTGCTTTTCCAGAATTAAACATTCTTTTCTGTGCTCTCTTCCATAGCAGGTTGCCACACTTGACATTGCTTTCTTTTTTTTCCTGAAAGACTCTCTTTTCCTATCCTTACTAAATTTCCTGAAGCATGCTGTTTAATAAATCTATATTGAAGTTGACCTTTATTTATTTGGAAATAAAGCTGCAGAGATTATGTTTACACATTAGAGATATGTTATCCAATGATAGTTGAGCTCATTCTTACAAACTGTTTTTCACCATTATATACCAAATTAAATGTTACCAGTAATTATTTATTCTACCAGAGTGTTTATTGAATTGGGGAGAAATTATTCACAATATTTAATACTATCTGTGGCATTTCCAACCCCTACAGGTACAATAAAAGGCACCGTTTATTAATATGTCCTAATAGTTTTAAAAATGAAGCATAAATATTTTCCTTTAACTCTTGCATGTCCAGAGACTATCACACTAGATAGGTGAAATTGTCACTGAATTCCTCAGAGAAATATGATATGTAAAAGACTCATATAGTTTTTTTTTTAATACTCAAGTTGTCACCAAATGTAAGTGCTTAAAATAAAAACATCTGTTTATTGAGTGATGTACCGCACTACTCAGTTACCTAATACTCATGTGTCTCTGAAGGGTAGGGAGTTTACTGGGGGTGTCAAGCCCCCCGCAACTCTAAAGTTATGCTAAAGATGAGGAAAACAAGAATGTGGAGAGAAAGAGGTAGAGTGGGTTTTAT